GGGGGGGGGGCGCTGATGTCAGGCTGTCCCTCCTCCCCCAGTCCTGTACTGTCTCCACACAGAGAAGGGGATGGAGGGAGCTTGGCAATTCAAATCCTGTCACTCGCATACACTGTGTCTCTTGTACACACACACACACACACACACACGCCCGCGCTGTCCTTCCCTCTCTTCTCCTGACCCAGCACACACACACACACACACACACGCTGTCCTTCCCTCTCCTCTCCTGACCCAGCACACACACACACACACACACGCGCTGTCCTTCCCTCTCCTCTCCTGACCCAGCACACACACACACACACACACGCGCTGTCCTTCCCTCTCCTCTCCTGACCCAGCACACACACACACACACACACGCGCTGTCCTTCCCTCTCCTCTCCTGACCCAGCACACACACACACACACACACACGCGCGCTGTCCTTCCCTCTCCTCTCCTGATCCAGCACACACACACACACACACACACACACGCGCGCTGTCCTTCCCTCTCCTCTCCTGATCCAGCACACACACACACACACACACACACACGCGCGCTGTCCTTCCCTCTCCTCTCCTGATCCAGCACACACACACACACACACACACACACGCGCGCTGTCCTTCCCTCTCCTCTCCTGATCCAGCACACACACACACACACGCACTGTCCTTCCCTCTCCTCACCCAGCGCGCGCACGCACACAATTCCCTCTCCTCTCCTGACCCAGCACACACACACACACACACACGCGCTGTCCTTCCCTCTCCTCTCCTGACCCAGCACACACACACACACACACACGCGCTGTCCTTCCCTCTCCTCTCCTGACCCAGCACACACACACACACACACACGCGCTGTCCTTCCCTCTCCTCTCCTGACCCAGCACACACACACACACACACACGCGCTGTCCTTCCCTCTCCTCTCCTGACCCAGCACACACACACACACACACGTGCGCTGTCCTTCCCTCTCCTCTCCCGACCCAGCACACGTGCACACACACACACACACACACACACACACACGCTGTCCTTCCCTCTCCTCTCCTGACCCAGCAGACCCACACACACCCACCCACACACACACACACTCACTCACTCTCTCTCTCTCCCGACCCAGCACACACGTGGATGGTTGTTGTTACTTTTACTGCTCACAAAGTGGGTTCGTTTTGGTTTGACTGGCCTGTGCATTTCATCATTTTCATTTCTCTCTTACGCTTATATTTCAGTCTTCTCGAACGCTGAACCTGGCGTGGCTGGAGTCCTTCTCCCTGTGCTAATTGCTGCTCCTGGCAGTGGCTGGCATGTCCCTGCAGTCCTGAGAGAGGCAGGGCAGGGGGTCTCCACATGCCGGCCTTGCCTGCAGACGCCACTCCTGCAGCTCCCATTGATCAATACCAGGAACGGTGGTCAGGAGAGGCTGTGGGCTGTGCTGGTGGATGAGGGGCAGCACATGGAGCCATTGCTGCACATGCCGGCTGCTTTCAGGAGCGGTGCAGGTGCAGGGCCAGGACAGGAGTCAGCTGCCTTAACCCCACTGCTCCCCCACCCGGAAGGCATCTCAGTGACACGGTGCCCAGCCAGAACCTGCTTCCTGAACCCCTGTCCCAGCCCTGAGCCCCCTCCTGCACCCAACCTCCTGCCCCAGACGTGAGTCCCCTGCACCCAAACTCCTTCCTAGAGCTTGCACCCTGAAACCCCTCCTGGACCCCAATCCTCTACCCTGGGCTAAGCCCCAAGCCCCTCCCACACTCCAACCCCTTGGCCCAAGACCAGCGCCTGCACCCCTCAGCCTGGTGAAAGTGAGTGAGGAAGGGGGGTGGAGTGAGCAGGGGGAGGCCTCGGAGAAGGGGTGAAGCACGAGCAGGTCCCCAAAGAAGGGACAGGAAGGAAGCGGAGCCAGGGTGTCTGGGTTTGAGGTAGATCTTAGACGGCACTTCAATTCCAAACGTGACCTTGTGGTTAAAAAGGTTGGAGAGCCCTGCTCTAGGGAAAGTAGCCAGCCCAGCTGTTGCTCCCCCTCTCCGCTGCGTCACCGAGTCTGCCACCCCCTCGGTGCAGAGTTGTCTGGCTGTGCAGCCAAATGGGATCCCTCTGCTCCTCTGCCCACTACCCCAAACTTCCTAGGCCCCAGCGGGTCCCTCTGAATTCCCCTTTCAGCTCCTCAGCCTTTGGGGGTTTAAATGCCTGTGCCAACCCGTTTCCTGGCTCCCTTTCTGTGGGAATCCTGTGGCTTCCAACTCCAGCCCTGCAGACATACATGGCCATGTGGTTTATCTGACGTCAGGCAGCCAGTGGTCCTGGGGCGCTCCCACCGGAATGGGGATGAGGCCGGAGTAAGGAGCCTCCCTGGTTCCTGGATTAGGAGATATTGCAGCGCAACCTGGACAGCACATGGAGAATTCCACTTGAATGGAGGCAGCCAATGGTACCGCAATTCCGTATGTAACCCCCTTTTTCCTCCCCGGGTTACTCGGGAGCAGGTCACACTCACAGGTGTGCCTGTGCGCCTGATGGTTTTAACATAAAAGGAGATCCTGAGTACCCCAGTGGTGATGTTGTTTAGTTGGGGAAAACCTATCCACACCCTTGCTGCAGTCCCTGGCTCATAAAGAACATACAGTGGTGGTGCCTTCACCTGGCTGGCCCTGTACACTCTTCATGGTGTGCCTTGGGAGCCTC